TCTCTCTCTCTCTCTCTCTCTCTCTCTCTCTCTCTCTCTCTCTCTCTCTCTCTCTCTCTCTCTCTCTCTGTCTCTCTCCCTCCCGCGCGCGCGCGGCCCCCCGGCCCCCAGCTTCGTTGCGGTGATGATAATTTGCCGTAATTGGTGTGCGTTTGCTGTCGCAAAAAAAAAAGGAACGAACATGACCGACAATAAGCTGTATGTTCATCCGTCCTACTCCAGACTCCTTCGCACGGCCCGGATGGGTTGGTCTATGGTCTACCTGCCACGTATGAATGCCGGACTGGCACCAAATCTAGGATTCGAACTGCGGAAGATTCGAACCAAATCTAGGATGAAGTTCGAAAACAGATGAGCGATATAGTCACACACCGGCAACTTGAAATCCTAGCCTCACACCTGCATGCATGGTCGAGGACATACTCACACTAGGTAGGACTTGAGCGGATGTATCTGACCGCAATCCCACCATGAGCTCGATGTATCTGACCCGCAGTTACGTCCAGAGCATAGTTCGAACAGTCCCAGTATGAGTAGGCTCTGAGTCTGTACAATCGCAATCCCAATAACAATAGCTTTCTCAACCCCAATCCCAATCCCAATCCCGATCTCCACCAGACAACGTAACATCTCCTCCAGACGAATTTCGACAACGGATCCCCCCCTCCCTCCGGACGAATCTGACCGGGATTTCGCCATGATCTGCGTGTATCTGTCCGCGATTACGTCCAGAGCGCAGTTGTCAAAAAAGTCCCTAGTAGTGTGAATAGAGTACTATGAGACTGTACAACCCCAATCCCGATGCCAACAAGAACACTTGATTTAAACATCTACTCCCGACGAGTTTGATCTGCATTTCGGTACGGCAATATCTTGAGAATCCACTTTCGCGGATGAATGTGACCCGAATTCCACAATGATCTGGATGCATCTGGCCTTCAATTACGTCCAGAGTGCTAGTGTGAGTAATTCTCTGACAGTTTGTTGCAGTCTCAATCCCAATCCCGACAAGAACACTCACCATCTCCTTCGCACGAGATCTGATCCGCAGTGCTGTACATTGACGACCTTGATCAGTATCGATTTTCGCGGATGAATCTTCAACGCAATCCCGGCATGATCCGGATCTCTCTCTCTCTCTCTCTCTCTCTCTCTCTCTCTCTCTCTCTCTCTCTCTCTCTCTCTCTCTCACCCTTAACATGCCTCCCAGACGCACTTGATCGTCAGCGCTGTATCTTGAGAGTCGACGTTCATGATTCCCTTGGCTCCCTTAGGACCCTTGACTTTCAGAAGCGACTTGATGTTGACAGCGTTCTCCACGGCACACGCTCCACTGTCCAGACCGCCCCCCACGACTGCATAATCGGGCCCCAGCCGTAAAAACTTCTCGCTCACGTCATAGTTATCCGTGAAAGGGCCGTGTATCTCCGTGATCCTCTTGCTCGCGTTCGAGTCGAA